GAGTATCCCCATGATGAAGAAATCAGGCAAAGGGGGCAGGAGACTTGCATGGATGAGTAGGGAGCTCCCAGTAAATCTTAAATGCGAGAAAGCAATTTACAGGAAATGGAAAATGGACAGGCCAAATGTGGTTGGTGGCTATCTTGGGCATAGTGACCACAAAATGGTTTTCAGTATGGGGTGAAATAAAGGAGTAGGACCAGCAGAACTTTCACCTTAGACTTCCAGCGGCCTGTTTAGGAGATTGATTGGCAGAGTCCCTTGGGAGTCAATCCTGAAGGGCAGAGGAGTCCAGGAAGGCTGGATGTGCTTTAAAAAGAAATCAGTAAATATTCAGGATCGGGCTGTCCCTGTGTGTAGAAAAATGAGTCATCAGGGAGTAAGACTGACCTGGTTTACCAGAGAACTTATGGGAAAAAAAAAAAAGAATCTCTTGTCTCTGGAAGGAGGATCAGATAACTCAGGAGGACTATAAGGATATTGTAAGGTCATGCAGGGAGAAGATTAGAAGGGCCAAAGCCCAGCTAGAACTTGATCTGACTGCTGCAGTTAAAAACAATAAAAAAAGTTTCTATAACTACATTGACAGCAAAAGGAAGCATGATCTGGGGAACTACAGGCCTGTCAGACTTACCTCGGCTCTAAGCAAGGTTATGGAAGAGATCATCCTGAGTGCCATTACATGGAATATGCAGGACAGTAGGACAATCAAGACCAGTCAGCATGGATTTAGGAAAGGAAGGTCCTGCTTGACCAACCTGATCTCCTTCTATGACAAAGTGACCCACTTAGTAGATGAGAGCAAGGCTGTGAATAGTTTCTATCTAGATTTCAGTAAAGCATCTGATACCATTTCCCACATTCTCCTGGAAAACCTGGCTGCTCGTGGCTTGGACAGGTGAACTCTTTGATGGCTAAATAGTTGGACCCAGTTGCCAGCCAGTCACTAGCAGTGTTCCCCAGGACTCAGGTTTAGGGCTGGTCCTGCTGAGGATCTGGACATGGGCATTGAGTGCACCCTCACTAAATTTGCAGATGACATAAGCTGGGTGGGAGTGTTGATCTGCTTGAGTGTAGGAAGGCTCTGCAGAGGGGCCTGGCCAGATTCAATCAGTGGACTAAGGACAACTGCATGAGGTTCAAAAAGGTGAAGTGCCAGGTCTTGCACTCCAGTTACAAGCCCCTGCAGCGCTACAGGCTGGGGGAGGAACGGCTCGAGGGCTGTTCTGCAGAAAGGGACCTGGGGGTGCTGGACGACAGCCGGCTCAGTGTGAGCCAACAGTGTGCCACGTGGCCAAGAAGGCCAATGGCATCTTGGCCTGTATCAAGAACAGTGTGGCCAGCAGGACTAGGGAAGTGATCATCCCCCTGTACTCGGCACTGGTGAGGCCACATCTTGAGAACTGTGTCCAGTTCTGGGCCACTCACTTCAAAGAGGACATTTTGGTGCTGGAACATGTCCAGCAGAGGGCACCAAGGCTTGTGGAGAGTCTAGAAAACATCTTATGGGGAATGGCTGAGGGAACTGGGTTTGTTTAGTCTCAAGAAAAGGAGGCTCAGGGGGCACTTCATCTCTCTCTACAACCCTCTGAAAGGAGGTTGTAGCCAGGTGGGGACTGGTCTTTTCTGCTGTGCCTGCAGAGAGAGGACAAGAGGAAATGGCCTTAAGCTGAGGTAGGGGACATTCAGATTAGATATTAGAAAAAAAATGTTGACTGTTAGGGTAGTCAGGCATTGGAATAAGTTGCCCAAGGAGGTGGTGGAGTCACCATCCTTGGAGGTGTTTAAGAGGCATCTGGGAGGTGTGGTTTAGGGATTATAGTGGCAGTGCTGGGTAGACAGTTGGACTGGTTGATCTTGAAGGTCTCTTTCAACTTCAGTGATTCTATGATTCTAAGGCAAAGGCTACTGTGGCTGAAGTGAAGGACAGAGAACAGGCTCCTTAACAAGTCAAAGATCTAAATTTAAGCTAGTCCGTTCCCAAGAGCCACTTGTAATAACTATGTTCTGTAGTTGATTTATTTATAACTATAGCAGTTGCAGTGGGAACAAAACATTAGGCCAAATTCTGACCTCAGAATATAAATCTAGAATCATTTTGCTCTGAAATTTTCAACTTTGATGACGTTACTTTGGATTCATTCTATTGTAATTGAGGTCAGAATAACATCTAGTTTTGAATGCAAAGAGCAGCAGAGTGTATGTTCAGTACAGGGCTGCAGCCACCTCCGTATGCTTGTTTGTACCTAGAGGCTGACCAGACAGTGTACCTCCTCTGTATGCCAGGGACAGAGACAGCCTGACAGGCTCTCTGAGGCTGAGGTATCTAGGAGAAAGTTTTTGACTTTTTACGACACTGTATCAGTGTCGTAAAAAGTTTTAGGGGAAGGAAGGAGATGTCAGAGAGCCATTACTGATTCTGCTATACCAAAGCAATACATCTGTGATAGTAGCAATGTTTCACTTTTTCTGAGAGTAAATGAAATAGTTTTGCAAAATTGGAGAAATTCCACTGCAGCAAACGAAGCTACACGACATCTGAAAACTTGATGCATGTGAGGAGCAGTGGGAACAGAGTTTATTAGGCATCCTAGGCTGTTCTATACAACCTTTTATTTTTTCTATGTGTTATTTACATGTCCTCAAATTTACTGCCTAGCACATCTAAAAAGCTGTCAGGTAAAAGCCCTCGCTTGCAGCAGAAGCAGTGCTCTGTGGCCTGTCCTGTAACTGTAGAGTGGGACCATAGGCTGCAGGGAAGTTAAAGAATTTGTCAGCTTCATTTATTCAGCTTGTTTCAGTCAGTTAATACAGAAGTATGTATGTCTTCATTCATGTATGCATGTATGTCTTCATTACAGGAACATTCTTCAGTAACAATCGTATGTCAACCCATAGAAGATAAAACTAATTATTCTCCATATTTGGGTCATACATGTTCTGGATCAGAAAATATAGTGCTTTCAAGAATTTTTCTCTCGGTTCAGTGAACCAGCTTGCAGTGAAAAGTGCCAACTTCCCCTTTTTTTAAGATTTAACATTTTCTTGGGTATATTTTTAAATTTCTAGTTTGGGTGGATTTTACAGAAACATAAAGCAGGCTGCCGTTGTAATCATTCCTGAATTTAACCATGCTCTGATGGCTGGTAAGTGATCCTCCTGAGTTAATAAGCAACTAACTGGAGGTTCTGTTATGCTTTTGATAAATTGTGTTTATTTTACCCTTGGAAATAACAACAGTTGTTTGTTACAATCCAGGTGCTTGGCTAATTGTGTGGAGTTGTGATTCAAATACTGCCAAAACATCTGTACATACAGTCATTTCTGTAGTTTAACCATGTTTCAGTTCATGTCTTGAGCTTTCAGGCCTTCTCCTCTATGACCTTCAATAATACTTTAGCATTTAAACGAATGAATGTGATAAGAAAAGCAAACATTTCTTAAGAAGATAAAGTAGTTGTGCTTTAATAAATGTAGCTCTTCTTCTGATCCCTACCTTGTATATTAGGAATAAGAAGGGCTGCATTGCATTTCTAAAGCTACTTGAAATTATTTCAGAAGGATTTCCCCTGGTGAACCGAGTAGAAGCCAAAATTGCCAAGACATTTCCCAACATTATCTGCACCTCAGCAATGGCAAATCAGGGATACACTGAACAGGACACTTCTGCAGGCTGATGTACTTCTCTGCTCACGTGCTAACAGACACACCAGTGCTCAAATCCACAGTATATATATACTGGTACCTCCCTGGCTAGGGATCCAAAATCAGCCATGCGTTTATGTCGAGGGGACCCAGATGGGTTACAGCCACAGTTCATAATATATGTCATCTGTGGTCAAAAATTTGTTTTCAATATGGAAATTCTCACTGTATGTTTCCATGTCACCCTCAGTGGAACTGTGCAATTTGTCTATTAATTCACCATTCTTATGAGTGCTGAGCAATATTTAGCAGGAGACTAAAATGTGAAAACTAGAAAGCTTGCAACTTGTTAGTTTAGTATCTCCACCTTCTTTCCGCAAATAATAAATGTTTTTCTTGTTCAGAGCATGAGCTGGGCTTTTAGGGAGCAAAACCAACCGGTTGGTTTCAAGGTTTATTTTTATTTTTTAAGAAGCAATAACTATATTTGTGTGGTTCAAATCCAACTAAAACATGAACTATAACTAGAAAATCAGGAGACTGCAACAAACCAAAACAGCAGTAGAGTTCTGAGCATGGCACTGAGGTCATCAAGTCTGAGGGACAGTCATGGAAGGAGATGAACCTTTAAGCTTTTTTGGGGACAGCTCAAGGGCACACAATGGCATGCAAGATCAGTCTTTTATGAAGGACAATTTTGAAGGAATTATTGGTACTATTGCGGGTACCTGGCTTTTTATTATTGTAACTGCTTTGGGTCTCCAGCTACAAAGCAGTGTAACTTCTAAGGTGTTTTTGAACTGTTCTTGTATCTCCTCAAAGAGTTTTTTTATTAAAGGAACAAGCAGATTGGTACATATAACTGGGAGGAAATTGAAAGCAAAGGGGTCTGTCCTTCAGTCAGTTATTTCAAATTTGTTATTAAATTTGATGCTGTGAGATTACACTACTGAGTAAGGTGAGCAGTGTCCATTACTTCTAGGGAGAGCTCTGTATGTATCAGCTTGGGGAACAGCCACCTCATGATGTAAAGCCATTGATGTTAATGGCTTGGTGTGCACTGCAGTGAAGATCACATTTCTGAGTTACAATACTGGATGTTCCTCCATTAAATTGTGCAAGGAAATAAAGGAGCAGTTCCTGTTAGTCTTGATCCATTAAAGTTGCTTAAACATTTGGTTATCTTTGGTGCTAACCATCAGATAAATGTGTGCATTAGGTGACCTTCTGGATTGGAAAGGAGGCCTAGGAAGCCATATCCTAGTTTGCAGTTAAAATCTCCCGCTTTGCTCCAAAGCTCTTGTCCTGCGACAATGACAGGATTTTTATGACAACCCTGCCTTCTTTATTCACAGGTGTTCCCTTTCCAAAGAACTTTCTTCAGATCTGCAAGAAGATACTCTGTCGGCTTTTTCGTGTGTTTGTTCATGTCTACATCCATCACTTTGACCGCATCATCCTCATGGGGGCTGAGGCCCACATCAATACCTGTTACAAGCACTTTTATTACTTTGTGACAGAGCTCAACCTCATAGACCGCAAAGAACTAGAGCCTTTGGTAAGTGTGGGTTTGGGGAAAAGCTCTGGGAAATACTCCTCCCTTCACTGAGTTTTTTTCACACTTGTTGCAGTGAGTTTCCTCTAGGAATAAGGTCTGTGGTTCAACACTGGAAATTTAAAGGGATGAACTCTGCCTCTGTGCACAGACCCATTTTATCTGCTGCATTATTTGTGAGATGCTCACTAGGCTTAGTAAAAAGAGAAAAGTGTAATACATTTTTTGTGGAAAAATATAAAATTGCAAATCCTACCATTTGAAAACAGGAGTTCGTTTGTCTTCTGCTTCTTCCTGTGCTATATGTTTAATATATAATTTTATTCTGTCTTTTTTCATTGGTTGGTAGTAGCATGGCACTCATAGCAGTCGCTTGAATGCATGTGAAGGGAATAGTTATGTATGTAAAAGTGAATTGTGAGGGTTTTTTAAGCTTAAGTAGGTGTTTTTGAAGGCATTGTGTTATCTCCAGAGCACACTCTGAGTCTTAAGTCAGACAGATGGAGTCAGACAAAGGTTCAGATAATTAGCAATGTAACAAAACCAGACACTTCTTTGTGGACTGATATAGATTAAAATTAAATTGATTGCTTCCAAAAGTAAGACTCCAGAAATGGAACTGCTTATGCTGTTGCTTGCAAATGCAAGCTAAATAAAATGAAATAAAAGCAGAGAAGGAAAAGTGAGGCATAATTTAGAAAGGAGTTTATGTTCAAATCCTCACTGTGGGCATTTAGCCAATTTTAAAAGGGATCAGGGAACCTTTTCTCCATAGGTCAGAGTTTGGAAAATACTGTGTTATACGGTTTATTATGAAGTGCTGGAAACAATGGGATTTTTTTAATTTTTTTTTTTTTTTCACTCAGAATCATAGAACAGCTTTGGTGTTGGCTGGCATTGTAGTCCAAATCCCTGCTCAAAGATGTGCCACCTAGAAAGGGCTGCCCAGGCCCACATCACATTTTCAGTTGTTCCACAGAAAGGCACACTAAAAGGACATGTATAGCATAGTTGATATGAAACAATTCTGAAAGTGTGGAAAAGTGATGTTTGCCTGTGTTTCTGCAGGAGTTGGAGCTGTTGTAGTAGTGGTTCTTGTATGTGCTTTTGCTGACTAGAGGAGGGCCTGTGAAGTGGGAGAGAATGGATCATCTTGGTTTCAACAGTTCACAAGACCCACTGAAAGGCACTTCAATGTGGCTTGTATTGATAAGTTGAAATGTATCTATGGTTTCTTTCTACATAGGAGAATTTAGTATGCCATTTAAGGGATAGGAGAAGGCCCTGAAAAAGAAAATTTCTCTACCAGATTAGTGAGCCTGAATTAGCTGTAGTTGTTAAATGCTGAGGGTGAATCACAAGCAAGATACAAAAGCAGGATATCTCAGAGATAGGAATAGAGATGATCTTAAGGCTGTTACAAGAACTTTTGCTTGCTTTGGAATACAGAGAGCACAAAAATTATTTAATGTTGCAGTTGGTGGATAGGAATAGTCTTACACTAAGCTGATAGGTGAAGGTTTGGGGCCATAGTGGTCCAGGAGGTGGGCCAAGTCCAGCTGCAGAGCAAGCTACGAATGTGCTCCACCCATGCTTTCCCTTTGCATTTCAGCGTTCCGTCCCTTCACGGAATTATTCATGGGATCATCATAGGATGTAGTATTATTGCCTTTGCTGGGATGCACCATCTCCCAGAAAACTATTTCACCCTCTTCCCTCTTCCTGTCCTTGACTTGGGTGGGTGTCAGCAGTGCGGAAATGCAGAAAAAAACAAGTCTGTATTTTTCTCTTCAGCTGAGCAGGGAGAAGGGAAGGAGTTGTCAGACAAGGCAGACATTACAAATAATCTTGAATTTTAATGTGGTAGTTGAGGACAACCTGTGGTCTGCCAGGTTCACTGTGACAGGAAATGAGCCCACATTATCTCCCTTAATTAGAAAATGGGCCAAGAGATGATTAAATAAACAGACTGCCACATGCTTTAATAAATGGGAAGACAACTGATTTATCAACATAACTTTAAGAAGGGAGAATAATCGGGGAAGTTGGTGGTAGATGAATCATAATATTAGACTTATGCTCCTATGTTTTAAATAGATTTTATCAGCCTTTTGCAACTGAGTGCAGTAGCTATAAAATGAAATGAAGCAAATAAGTCAAACAGGGTTCTCCCTACCATCTGAGAGTTGCATAACTTGCCCTTTCTGCAGTGAAAGAGAAGGGTATTGTTGAAAATGCTGCATGTCATTTTCCCATCCCCACCAGTATGTTAATTTGACAAAGTCCTGACTTTTTCATAGAGTTGTTTTATGAGGGCACAAAAAAGGAAACTGACGCGGTCACTGACCCCAGAGGGGGTCCTGAGGGAAAAACACATGTCTGATTTGTTAATTTAGGGAAGAAGAAGAAGTCTGAAAGCGTATCTGTCCTTTCCTGCAACTAACAGACAGAGCAGGACCATGAGAGCTCTCAGAAGACCTTTAAGGCATACCTTCATGGGAAGGCTATCAGGAAACAAACTGTTTGAGCTTTAAGATGTGGCATCTGCTTTGTGCTGGCTCTCTGTGTAACCAGCTTTATTTTACACTGGCGGTAGTTCACCTTAATTCACTTTTGAGTCTCTTCCCATGGCCAAAACTGCCTGGCATGGTGGTGCCTATTACCTCCCTCCACCTCACCCTGTGTAGGTGACTACTTGTCAACTTCAAACACGGCATCTAAACATGTATTTTGATGAGAAATTTTATGCAGCCACCTCAGCACATAAATTTGCTGTTCAAAGAGTAGTGCAGCTACGGCGAGTAATGGCCCTTACTTCTTTTCTGTGATCTCTTTATCTATCAGCATATTTCATAGTATGTTGGACTTAAAGAGATATACCTTTAAAAGCACATCATGAGCACAACAGTCTTGGTTTGTGGCATTTTACTTAATTTATTACCAGTTAAGAAAACTTTTTATTACAGATCTGGATATTGAGGGAAAAAACCTCCAATTAAACAAGCACACTTAGTGAAGAAACACTTTTCTTCCCCCGGCTTTAATTCAGTAAAAAACTGCTCCCTGCTTTTGGATCTCAGCTCACCTTGGTTTTGCTACACATTACATTCAACTACTTCTAGTCCCTTTGGTGACATGAGGGGCCATGCAGGAGACTGGGCATGTGTATGTTGCTTCTTTCTTCTTACTTGTTTTCCACCACTCTAACTTGGGTTTACTGTGGGATGGTGTCTGCTCTGGTGTGGGTTGCCCGTGACCCACAGTACTTTCAGGGATATACCTGCTCTGGCACATGACTCTTCCTTCCAAGAATGTTTCCAACCACGTCCCAACAGTGCCACCATTTGTCCTCTTCTTTTAACAGCTGCTGCTTTCTTAAATATCTGTGTGCAGAGGCACCATACACTTCTCTAGTTGAAATTTTGGCACTTGCTGCATTCATTTGCAGTGGTTTCAGGAGCAGCTGGAAGTAGCTGGATGGCACAGAACAGTTCATAACCTCCTGCCACAAGAAGTCACCCCTATAACCCCCTGCTACCAAAGCCCTGCCAGTTAAGCCTAGTACAAAGCACCCTTTTCTAAGTAATGTAATCTGTTGTTTAGAGCCTTACTTTCTGTTTCCAATTTTGTTGTAGGTTTTTTTGTCTATCTCTGTGTAATAGCTCTCTTCATGACTCTTCTTATGTGGAATATAAAAGTATTTAGCACGTGACAGAAGTCTTGTGAACCTGAATTAAACAATGTTTGCAAAGTACCCTGGTGCCACAAAATAAGAGTTGTACTGAGAGTACAGCTTGCACCTAGTTCTACTTCCTATCTTCAGCAGCAAACTGGATCCTTGCCACAAAAGAAATTAGAAGACCAAAATTTCCTATGTTCCTTAACTTGGTGTTCACTGATTTGCTTTGCTGTTGCTTTAGGAATTATAGTGGTAAAAACAGGAAGTGAGCAAGCTTTGAGAAACCTGGTCTACCAGGGGCTGATGAGGTACATCAGTCAGAGAAGGGGAAGAGCATCTTTGTCCATGAACTTGCCAAGCTGGTGGGCTTTAATATAAAGGTGCCAGTGGAGGGGAACCTCAGTCCATCCCTCTCCTACCAATTTGATGCCAGTCCCAGCAACAGATGCCCAGAGCCTGAAGAGGGGTCACAGGTCAGGAGGAGAGCGCCTAGAGAGCAGCACAAGGGAATTCCTGACACTCCAGTGGGGGCCAACTTAAATGCCTCTGTGCAAATGACTGCAGCATGGGGAATAAACAAGAGGAGCTGGAGACATGCACACACTTGCAGGACTGGCATCAAGGAGAGGTGGTGGGATTGCTGCGGCTGGAGTGTTGGAATGGAAGTACAGGCAGGGAAGATGAGAAGAGAGTGTCACCCTCTATGTCAGCGATGAGTTTCAGTGCTTGGAGCATCACCTGGGGATGGATGAGGAGCTGAGTGAGACCTTACAGGTCAGGATTAAAGGGAGGACAGGGATTACCGAGAGGGCAGGGGCAGAGTCTGCTACAGGCTGCCTGACCAGGAAGACCGAGAAGATGAGACCCTTTACAGACAGATCAGAGTGGCCTCGCCTTCACAAACCCTGGTCCTCAGGGGGGACTTCAACCACCCCAGTACTTGTTGGAGAGGCAACACAGCAGGGTACAGGCAACCAAGGAGGTTCCTGGAATGAGTTGAAAGCGTCCTTCTTCAGGTGATAGAGAAAACAACAAGGAGAGGTGCTGTGCTGAACCTTGTTCTCACCCAAAAAAGCCAGGATGTGAAGCTCAAGAGCATCCTGGGCTTCCATGGCCATGAAATGGTAGAGATTGAGACCTTTTGGGCATGGAGGAGGGTGCACAGCAAGCTCACTACCATGAGCTTCAGGAGAGCAGACTTTGGCCCCTCCGAGGTCTTCTTGGTAGAGTACCATAGGATAAGGCCCTGGAGTAAGGAGAGGCATAAGAAATATTGTTAACATTCAGAGATCACCTCCTCTGAGCCCTGGAGCAATGCATCCTG